CACCCTGTACATGTCTGTCAAGCCCAGGAGGCTGGGCCACAGAGCACAGATTTCTGTCAATGGGCAACAAGAGCCGACCGAGGAAGGCAAAAAGCCGGGGGTGCTGTCCAGATGGGCAGCCATGAGTCTCTCTCTTGGGTTCATGGAACCATCAGTGTTCTGAACAATGGGAAGACACCTTTATCATGAGCATGGTTGAAAGAGGGGACCGTGGGAAGGCTCAGAAACCAGGCAGGTAGCATTTGCAACATAAAAATGACACTAAAGGAGAACTGACAGAATCTGGTTTCTCGCTGCAAGGAAGGGGATGAAAAGAGGCCGGTCAAAGAAGACTGAGAGGGTGGAGAGGGGTCTGGCAGAGAAACGGCAGGTGGGAGGTAGAACTCAGGGAACAGATGTTGGGCCAAGTCTACCTGTTAGTAGAAAGTATGCATGAGGCACTTGTAGTGTTTTCTCTTGCTGCTTAGTTCAAAGAGGAAGATGGGGAAAATACTTGTTCTTTTGATCTCTATAAATCAAAGTATAAACTCTGTGCCAAAATAATTTAACAGCTGTGCCTTTTCCCTTAAAATTATTAGTTCTAAAAACAGAAAATATAAAAAGTAGAAAAATCTGCAAATCCTACCTTAGAAACCAAACCAAATATTTCTTCTTAAAAAAACTAACAGCAACAACAAAACTATACAGGTATATAAATGATACGGAGACATTTTTTTTCCTTTATAACCTAAGTTTCAGAGACCTCAGTTGTAATCTTCAGACAACTTTGACAACAAAAAACCAAAGGACATTAACTGTACATGTAGGGAACTTCTGGATACAACAGTCAGCCTAAGGAAAAAAATAAAAACCAAAACAAAAAAAGACATTTACACTTCAGGATAATTTCAACTATACAAACAATGTAACTTCACCATTGCTGCTGATGTAAAATAACGATGACATTATGAACATCGCTAAGTAAAATTTTGCAAATATTTCTTTTAGGGACTTAGTGAGAACTAGATTTCAAAAATGAAGTGTAAAAAAACCCCTAGATTTTACAATTGAAATTTTTGAAAATAAAAGATCAGACTTACTTATGACATCCTGATCACTGTCTTAACATTCAGCACGGTGTATCGTGAAACAGAGTTGCCTGTATAAAAATTTTATCCTCATAATGAATAACTAAAGAAATAATCAGAGGGCTACAGAGCAAGGACAATGCTTCTGGAAGCTGATGTAGACCTGGAAAATAATTTTGATGCTTGCTAGCATGTACTGAAGGATCACACAAATAATGTGTAAGAGGAAACAAACTAATATAACTCTATGAAAAAAGTTAGCAGCCTGAATTAACTTTACCTGAGACAACCATTTCCCTCCACATAGGTTGTTTGGACCTGGCCTTCACAACATTTTATTTGTCCATCTTTCTTTTCTCTCACATTAGCTGAGTAAAATTATCAACCCCCAAGGCAGCGTCCTCCTGTGATATTTTAGGCTGGTTTATAATAATGAGTCCATGTGTGGACGAGAACAGCGATAGCTGGTTTGCTTATCTGTGCGAAGTTTGAGAAGGCCCCGAGTTGGACCCTGGTGAAGCAGGTCTGCACTGTTTAGACCCACCCATTTTGGATACAATAAGCAAAAAGTAGAGAATAGCTGAGTAGAGTACAATAGCTGAGTAGTAGTAGTACAATAGCTGAGTAGAGAAATGGGGCTGCACCAGAATCGTGGAATTTCTAGAATTAGGAAAAAGGGCTTCAAAGAATGACAAGATAAGAGGAAATAAGGTTTTCAGGTGGAAACCGATTTAAAAGGGAAAAAAAGACCAAAAAAACAACCCTTTCCAGATGCCCCTTCTGTGCAGAATCAGTTAGTTTTAATATCTCTCAGATAAGTCATCAAAAATAAAATATCTAAATAAATAAAATTTAAAAATCTACAGAATACTCAGAATAAAGTAATTTAGAAAACTTATTGACTCTAGCACTGAGATTTCACCTTAGCTAAGATATTTCTAGTTCTTTTTAAACAGGACTGTTTCTGACAAAAGTAACTCATTCTAAATGACGTCTGTAGAGGTGAAAATTCACCCTGGGGTAAAGCATGCTCCTCCTGCAAGTAATTTACCTTGTGGAACCTTCAGGGCAACTCTTTAATGGCCACTGTCAAAACAACTTCTAAAGCCATACACAAAAGCTAGAAGACACTTATGCCCCTCACCCCATATGCTGTGGTTTAATTTTACTGACAAACTAAACTTTTAAAATGTTTTCCCATTTATATTTGTCCACAGGCATTCAGAAATAATAAGTGTATGCTTAAAGGACAATAATTACTTGTTCCACAGGGAAACCGATATGGCTTTTCTCACCCAATGGGTTGGTTCGTCCCTTCCAAGCTGATGCCTCTGAGGTACAGAATATGGCCATGGGCTTGCGACGCAGGCCTAACTGATACATGGGAGAGGCATAAAAACTAAAATAAAATAAAGATAACCCTCTATGTAAACTTTATGCTTCCACTGCAATTACTCCATTTTCGTTAACATTTCTAGTGTGAATTATAACCAGAGCAAACAGATCATCGTTCCACATCCCAGGAGATGGCAACAGCCAAATAACCACTTCAGACTAACCACTCTCTCTGTCTGACTGAAGAAGGGGCACATCGCTAGAGCCTTACTATTCTGAAGGGAATAGGAACTCTGGGTACAAGTGATATTCCAAATTAAATTATGCAGATGTCTGAACGTATTTGAGTTCCCAGAGTATGAGCAGTACTTGTTCTAAGATTTCACCACCTCTTCTATAACAGAACATGTTCAACCAACAGTTGAGTTGAAATAGTAACACTTTCTTGGGGAAATTAAAGTTAGCAAACTTATTAGATGAGAAATCAAATGACTCACATCTTATTCTTTTAAGTATGACAAAAAAGATAAAGCTATCAAAATTTATTTTAGCAAAAGTTGTGGCTATCTTTTCACACCTATTTAAAGCAAAAATCAAATCCTGGACAATCTGTAACATTTGAAGTAATGCTCTTTTACATGCACAAAATTTTTATTTTGACGTATTCAATTTTAATGAAATTTTAGTAATATATATCAACAGATTTGGGGACAGCTGAGAAGCCAGTATATTTATCACTGAACAAAAGTTTTAACACGTAAGCACGTATCTGCAAAAAGCAATCTAAGAAATCTTATGAAAAGATCCCATGAAATCCAATATCAAATTAAAACAGCAAGGAATAAAAGGACATCAGAAAAAAAAAAAAAGATCTGCTAAATGCTGTTTTTCAGTTCACTTACTGTCCAAACAAAATCTTTGTTGCTTTGATGAGAAGAATATATTTAAAAAAAATTCTTGCTAGATCTGCTCTATGGGACACACACACACACACACACACACACACTTACAGGGATTCCCAGGACACCAGTGGGGCCTCTTTTAGGCCCCTTAAGTGTTAACAGCAGAGGCCTGGCTGCGACCAGGCGCGTCTGGCCCGATTTAAATGCCCTGTCTTCAGAGGACTGCGGTGAGCATGGCCATAAAACTCGGGGACATTACTGAACCTTAGAGTGTCTGATCCTCCCCCCAACAATACACACAACTTTACTCATACAATTAAGGCTGCTAGTTGGCATTCCATTTAACTGTCAAAGTCAGACCGGTGGCAGCCCCGCAGCCACAAAGAGATGCCTTAAATGAGAAGAACATGTTTCTACAACCGCATTTGAGAAAGTTTGGCTCCAAGCTATGCACTGATTAATATCAGATCTCCTCCTTCATTCTCTGCTCGACAATCTTGTCACATCTGGCTGACAAATCCTTAGGAGGTTATGCAAAACCAGGCGGCCGGTGGGGCTCGGGGTCTGGCCAGCAGCGCCCGAGGGGCAGCGGGGACCATGCCGTGGCCTCCTCCTCCGCCCTCAGGCCCCCCCCCCCCCCGGTCCCCTGCCCCGCCGCCCGGTCGGCAGCGGGGACCCGCCTGGGCGCTCGGGTGGTGAGCGAGCGCGGCGCTCCCGGGGCCGGAAAGCCGAGTGCGGCCGGGATTCAACACCCGCGACGCGGGACCGGCCGCCCCGGCGCTTGCAGGCGATGCCGAGTGCGGCGGGGGTACAGCCGCCGGCTCCGAAGCCCGGTCCAGCCCTGTCACCTGCAGGCTGCCCGTCTCCAAGTAGCCAGAGCCCACTGTGTCTGGCTTGGACGTGGAAACCCTCGAGCCTGACCCCGATTTCTGGGGCCGCCTGAACCTAGCGCTGAACTGTTCCGCGCACCCGGCAAGTCAGCTGTAACCTTTATAAAAACCTGACCTTGCACCCTCGAATCTATCCTGTCCCGGAAGCTTCCTGAGCTGACCTGTCTGCGTCTTCATTTGCAGTTTTGTACAAAAGATTTGTAGACAACCCCCCCCCCCGCCCCGGACAGGAGGCCCCGTCACTGTCCCTCACCCGGCTCCTCAGTTCTCCGAGTGACCGAAGGCTACCGCACGCTTAATTCTCCGGAAACAAAATACAGGTTAAAAAAAAAAAAGGCCACTTTAAAAATCAGCTGTTTAATTAATTCTGAGGTCAAAGCGGTTGAAACAGTCCCAATGTCCTTGAACCGAAAGCCGAGGTGCTGAGGGGGCGGGAAGAAGTGCGGAAGGCGGCCGCCCAGTCTCTCCTGACCCCGCACTTTCGACGCGCCGGGGCTGCCCCGGGGACGCCGGCGTCCCGCCCCCGCCCGCCAACCCCGGTCGCTCACCCACAGTGCGTCGGGCGGCTCCGGGACGTCGGGCGGCGACGGGTCCGGGAGCCCCCACGGGCCCTCCCCGCCGCAGAGACGCTCCCTCACACCCTGCCTCGGGGAAGGACCGCGCCGCCGTCGCGCAGGTGGCCCTCGGGGAGATGGCCCCTGGCGCACCCCCCGAGTACCGACCTGCCCGGGGTCCGAGAGGCGTCTCCGGCCGCCCCGCCCCGCGCGCTGAGGGGGCCCAGCGCCCGGGGAGGGCGCCACGCTTACCTCAGCCATCCTGCGGCCGCTGCAGTGCCGGGGCTACCGGCGCGTGTCCCTGGCTCGGGCCGCCCCGCGTCCGCCTCGGCTCGGCGGGCGCCGCCGCATCTAAGCTCCGGCCGTCGGGGCCCGCCGCGGCGAAGTGGGCGGCTCCCAGTGCTCCCAGGCCGCGCGGCGCGGTGGCCGCCCCCGCCCTCCGGAGCGCCGCGCACCGCGTGTGCCCGCACGCCCGCCCCCTGCGCCCCGGGAGGGGCGCCCCTCCTCCTCTCCCCTTCCCCTCCTCCTGGACTGCCGAGTCGCCCGAGGCTCGGGCGCTGCTGCGCCGCACGGGAAGCCGCCTCCTGCTCCCGCGGCCCACTAACGCGCTAAATCGATGCAGCTGATGCGAGGCCGTGGCCCCCGCAGACAGCGGAGACCTAGCCGGCGGCCAGCGAGGTGGTGTCTGCCCCCGCCGGGCTTGAAGGCACTTGTCGGTAAAGACACAGACGTGTCGGTGTTTGCCTGTCCCGGGGAAGGGCGAAATGCTCTGAAGTTCTCTGGCTCCCATGTCGGGGGATGATTCTGCCGCCCTGCCTGCTCCGGGACGCCCTCGGGTCCCACCGCGGCCAAGAAGAGGGCTGTGCCACCCTCGTCACCAGAAACTTTATTTCCAGAGGCAGTTTGGGGACGTGTCCCAGGATGTGGAGAAAGGGGGGCGCCAGGAAGTTTTATTACGAACTCCAACAGGCATCCCCGCTTCCCTTCTGTGGTCTAAGGAATTATAGTCTCAGCTTTACCACTTTCCTGGGACAAGTCTTTGCTCCCTGAGCCTCAATTGCTTCCGTTGTAAAATGGGATTAAGTTTTCACCTCTCTTATTGGGTAGTAAGGACGAAATGAAATTAAATTTCTTGGAAAACCAAACAGGAGCTTGGCCGCCATGAGCAGATGGGGAGGGGGCCTGACGGGAGAACCGGTTTCCTGTCCTGGGGACAGGGGATGCTTCACCCCTAGGAGCTGACAGAGATGGCCCACAGCTGCTGAAGCAGGACCCAGCTTTTCTTCTGCCCCACCCTGGGGCAGACACAGAACCTGAGGAGAGTCAGGCCTCTCCCTTTTCAGGTCCCTAAAAGGATTCACTGAAGGCTGGATTTGGGGGAATCCTACTTCCTTCTCCCCCAAGTTAACCCACTTACCTTGCTGCTAGTGGAGGTCCTTGGAGGGAAACAAAACCCTTGCACACTGTGGAAAAAGATGTGAGATGAAAGGGGAAAAGAAGCGAGTTGCACTCATTCAGAGGGAGGGTACTGGTCCTGGCTCTGAATGGCGCAGGCCTCTGAATGGAAGAGGAGGGAAAGGAGCGACCATGGTGCTTGTGGAAGAAAGTATCTGGGCTTCATGGGGTCCAGAGAGCCCCTGCTCTCTGTGCCCTGCAGGCTGGACATACATAGCTGGCGTTCTGGCCATGTCCTGGGTCTGCAGTGTGGTGCCCTTCCTTGCAGGTATGAGGTTGCCTGGCTTCATGTGATGGACTCTGCCCTCCCTGCCTTACAGGTGGTGGCAAGATTTATTTTCTCACATGGCTGACTTTATTATGAAGCTTTGCTTTGTGAATTCCAAACCTAAACTGCTTACCTTCCGTTTGTGTCCTCCTCTTTCCCACTCCCAGCATTTCGACCTTTCTCCTTGCTGCTCTTCTCTGCTTGTTGTAACACAGTGCATCCTTCAAGACCTTTCTCAAATGTCACAGCTTCTCAGAAGCCCTCCCTGATCCACCAACCCTCCACTCTGTGTGCTTTTGTCCTCTTCTGACCCCCAGGCACTTGTATCTGCCTCTCTAACTGTGCTTATTACATTCTCTAGCCTGCTTGTGATGTGTCCTTGTCTTAACTGCTTTGGTCATTACTCATCTTAGTGGCTTCTGTGTTATGAGTTGCTGCAGCAGACAAAGTTCAGGTTTTGAAGTTAGAATGGCTTGGGTGTAGCTGGTTTGTGCAATTGGAAACTGAGAAAGTCAGCTTTCTAGGCCTCATACTGTCCTCATCTTTAAAAGTAGGTATGAAGCCTTGTTTCTGGCTAGATTGGTAGAGCTAAATAAGATAGTTTCTGTTCTGCAAACACTGTTCTCCTTCCTTTCTCCTGCACATAAAACTGATTTTGTAATTAATTTAAATTTGTTACCAGAGGAGTCCTTGGTTGCAGTATTATTGAATGGCCATATATGCTTATTATAAATACACTGAAATGTCTAAGACCCAGACAATGGCCCACTTAAATACCTTTAATCTGTCTGATTGATGGTTTTTGTCAGTATCTTTGTGTGTGCGGCAACTGAATTGTATTTTAGTAAAACTTTTCAGTAGCAACAAATATCACGATCAACCTGTTTAACTCTTTCTGGTTACAGACAAGGAGGATTTTTGGCAATACACGATTTGAAAACGTGAAAATAGGCCACCTCTCCCAAGACGCACCATTGGGATCCACATACACATTTCTTCAAATATGACAGTTTGGACCCCCATATATGGAATCAGTAGGACTAGATGAAAATTGCTAATTAATCTTCTGCAGGTTCATTTAGAATCATATACCTGATAAATGTGACTCCTGAAATCAGTCCTCATATTTATTCCCAGATTTAATGGGCTTCTCTGCCACTCCTTGGAAACATGTCAGCAGAACCTGGGACGGAGAAACCATCCTTGAATATAGAAAAGAATGTGGCACTGGCTGGGTAAAGATCGTCCAGATCACGCTTCTGTTCTCCTACTGGTCAGTAATGGGACCTGGGCATGACTTTCCTGTCTCTAGGCCTCAGCTTCTTCCTCTGGCAAGTGGGGCGTCCTGAGGGCCTACCCTGTTCTCACAGTCCTCCCTTTTTGCTTCTATGTGCTTCTGTGCTTCCACCTTGCCATTTTTCTTTTGTGTCCAATTTTTTGTTGTAGCAAGCACAAAAAACGGAATGTCTTCGCTGATACTAGGGATTAAAAAGACCTTTATTAAAAAGGGTAAAAGTCGAGAAGGCACAAAATAAGAAAATCCCTGTGACCTGTTCTTATGGAGGCATGAAGCAGCTCTTCTTAAATGAGAGACTTGGTTGGGTTGCTGTCTTCCTGAGTGAGGCCTTTCCTGAGGTGGGTGTGCTGAGATTGCCCATCCTGAGAACCACTGGTGTATACTGAGGGGTGGGACAGGTTGAGTCAGGGGAAGCAGGGCAGGTGGGGGTTGTGTGAACTGAGAGCCAGTGCATGTGTGAGGTGATCAGTTGTTGTTCTCCTTGTCATCAGCTGGGAATGTGGGCTCACTTTTGCCAGATTTCCCGAGTTTGCAAGAGAAGCTGGAAATATTCTGATATTTAAAAGTTGGCAACTAATTCAAATTTTTGATAAATATGGTGTGAGTCAAACAAAATATGTTTTTGGGCTGAATCTGGCCTATGTGCTGTTCATTTGCACCCTCTACTGTATACAGGGATGTCTTCTTGAGGCCTGGGCTTGTATATAGTAGGTGTGCAATAAACATTTGTAGAGTGAATATGACTCCTGGTGGCGAATGGCTCACAGCCTGCCTAACCATTAAATGGAATTCTCAGAAGCCACACAGAGATGAGTAACAACCTTTGTGTGTTGGATTCAGAGCCCACTAATGGGCTGGTAAACATCTATAATATTTATACCCTGATAAGTCTCCGTCTAGTTGTTAATAGTTCTGTGAAATTCAGAATAGCCTCTCATTGGGAGACTAATTCTCACAAGAAAAATTTTCCCCAGTGGGGACAAATGAACTTGAAAAAAAATTTTTTTTAATTAAAAAAGGGTATTTTTTTTTTTTTTTTTTTTTTTGGTGGTACATGGGCCTCTCACTGTTGTGGCCTCTCCTGTTGCAGAGCACAGGAGCACAGGTTCCGGACGCGCAGGCTCAGCGGCCATGGCTCACGGGCCCAGCCACTCCGCGGCATGTGGGATCCTCCCGGACCGGGGCACGAACCTATGTCCCCTGCATCGGCAGGCGGACTCTCAACCACTGCACCACCAGGGAAGCCAAAAAAAAAGGGTATTTTTAACCATGGGATCATCGTGTTAAAAAGGGGAAAAAAAAACCCCCACCTTTACCTATGGAGGTTTGGGCACCACAGATGGGAACAGCGTATTACAGCAGGGCAGGTGGGTAGCTGTCTCCCTCCTGAGCTTACCAGTGGCCTGGAGGAAGAGCTAGCCCTGGGGCAGTTGGCAGGAGGACTGTGTTGAGGGCCAAAGGGGCAGGACAGGGAAAGGCTTTTGACATGGCAGCGTGGGCAGAGAGATGTGGCTCTGTCGAAAGTCTTCTGAAGTGGCCTTACTTGGAGTCTTCCACATTCCTCTGAGGACGGTGCCGGGAAACACTGGAAGACAAGAGTCACATTTGCTCCGTCCCCTCCCAGCCCAGACACAGACACCTGGCAGGTCTGGGCACATCTGCTGCTCAGCTCAGCATTGGAGCCTGACTAAGCCGCGTTGAGGCCAAGCTGCACGCCCCCCTCTTCCCCAGCTGCCTGCTGGGGGACAGGCTGGCCTGCCACAGGCCTGGCCCAGGTGTCGCAACTTTTTCCCTCTAGCCCCTGCGCTGCTCCCTATTGCGAGGAAGGAGATGAGGCCATTCCAGAGATGGCACAGGGTTTTGGTGGCAGAAAACTGTTCCTGTTTCTCCACCTCTCACACAAGGTCAGGGATTGAGGGGACCAAAATGCCCTGAAGGTCCTGCTACACCAAGGGGAATGCACTGTGTCTTGCATTTGGGGTTTTGGTAGCCAAGACTGCCAAATCTCAAGGAGGGGGATGTCAGTAAGGAAGAGTGATAAATACTGTTGTAAATTCCAACCTGCAAACAAACCCAGGCCTGATTCTAAACTGCTTCCCTGAGTGCGTCTGACAGTGATGCAGTTTGTGAGCATCCGTGGCAGGAAAGAATATTCATTTCTGACGCGGACAGATTGAAGGCTTATGATGGTTCTTTCAAGTGTAATATGCTTGGAGAAAACATTGCAAGTTTGGCTACCATTGTTTTGATATGTCTGGGATGCGTGAAGTTAGCTTCTCATTTATTCTGTCCTCCATGGCCTTTAAACAATCAATGACAGTCATAAGAAGG